GAAATTCGAATCTCGTTCTCAGCATTTCTAAAGTACTGCTGCAAAGGCGGAGTTCACCGAATCGGAAATTTGAGGAAGAACTGTTTGCTGTATGAACCGTATTGAAAAGTTAGTAATAATTAGAGCCGAGCAATAAAAGTTAGGATACGGATAATGGTTTTCAATAGTACATGAGGTCGAGGTACCACAACTATTCTGGTCCGAATTTAGAAGAAAATAACATTCTGGGTTTCGGGATGATACATGACGAGGGTGCCGGGGCATATTTGGGTAGCAAAATCAGTTGGACCCAGTCGAATTTCTCAAAATTCCTGCAGCACGGGACATAACAATACCAAAATCGCTTGGGCTATCAGTGTGGGTATCCCATGTTAGTGATGCTAACAGTATCAAAACAGAAATGATAAAGTGGTGAAAGACATTATTAACTGAAAAAAAAAAAAAAAACATAAATCCTGGAAATATCAACAGCGCTGGAGAGAAGTGATAAAGCGGTGAATAATATGCAAAGCTCGGAAAAAAAGAATTGGGTGCTGGAAAAGATAAGACATTTAAACAGTGACAATTGGAGTCACAAATGATAAAAGTAGTATTAAAAAAAGCCAAGTCAATAAATTCGAAAATCTTAGCACTCATAACAATTTCCAAAGCAGTCTGTTTTTTAGCAGCAATCTCGAAATCATAAAAATTTTAAGCATAAATAAAAACAATGTGACTCTCGAATGACTTTCGCTTTTAGCTTAAAATTAGTACATCCTGCCAACCTATGAAACTTGTCACCGGGCACACATATTTGCGCAAAAGTACCACTTCTCAGACCAAAACAGAACATCGTATTGAACAAAATTTGACTCTAGCCGATCATTTTTGATTCAATGCTCAGCGGTCACTGAGTGGATATCACCTCGTTTATTACTACGGGGAATTCTGCGATGTATAGCGAAACGGGCACTTAAATGCATTTCAAATATCACAGACTTTTTTAGCTAAATTTAAGAACCATCTGCTCATCCTGATTCGTTTTTTTTTCCTTGTACCTTGTTTTCCAGTGATAATTCGTTGATCTTGGATTCCACTCGGCCTCGAAGCTCCGATTGTCGTCTTTGCTTCCTTTTTAGTAGCAGTCGTCCAAATGAATGCTTGAGATCTGAGAGCTTTGCTTGCTAGCTTCAACTCGCCTGACTTGTGTTGTTAAGCCGAGTAAGAGTTAATTTTTATGATTGATGGAAAAAGCGGCCAAGAAATGCGAAATTTCAGGCCTTCACCTCAGTTGGGTTTTCTTCACTGGATTTTCTGTTGTTAGGTTTGGTGCCGAGCTCCTCCATTCAAAATCCCAAAATTTTTTGTTTTGTAACGCGGAATCGTAATAACGGGAGAGCACTGGAGCGAAGGATGCTTGGAGTGCCTGTCTATGACCATATAAACAATCAGACTCTCCGTCAGATGAGCGGCCCGCCGGATGTCACTGCGAGCACGAGAGGAAGTGAAATGCGATGGGCGGGGCATGTTGCTCTCATTGTCGATTGCCCGCGCAAACCGTGGCAAGATGTGTGATTCTCTTTGCCAAACGTGCATTAGTGAATGGTACTCGCGAGAAAGGAAACGACCACTCGGATGATCCTCGAAGAGGTGGCACATATACATTGGAACAAATGGCCTATTCAGGACCGAAAAGACTGGCATAGCTACGCCTGGTGTGTAGGAGCATTTCGGTAGTTTCACTAACATTGGGATACCTGCTTTTAGTGCCCAGGCAATCTTAGTGCCCCTGGGGAATGAAATTGGCCAGAAATCAACTAGCAAGTGGACATTGGCTTCACCACGGGGTCACTTTCGGGCTCATCCTGTTGCGGCCACTCTACCATAGCCGGTCAGTTCGAGGAGTACGGTAAATAGAGTACTGTCATTGTACGCCCCGTTCCCAGCGCTACCGTATCCGCGTTAATACCGTCATCCCTATGACGGCTGAAATTTGCAAAAAAACGAAGGGCACTTGCTTTTACTGCCCAGGCAATCTTAGTATCCCTGGGAAATGAAATTGGCCAGAAATCAACTAGCAAGTGGATATTGGCTTGACCACATGATCACTCTCGGGCTCATCCTGTTGCAGTCACTCTACCATAGCACGGTCAATTGGAGGATTACGGTAACTAAAGTACTGTTGCCATACCCCTCCCCGTTCCCTCAGCGCTACCGTACCCACGTCGATACCGT